TGATGACTGAAAGATACATATTTGTCACCCACCTGAACAAAGAATGAGAAAAGAGGGGATGTGCTCGACAGGCTGGCCTTTAGAGAAATAACTAAGTGTGTGTGTGTGTGTGCGCGGCTGTGGCCAATCGCCTTCCTCTCTCGCTTCAATTTACAGCCAATCTTCCCATCTCTCACACGCTCCCTCATGCATCCATTTGGTCATTTTTCCATCTTCCCTGCCTTTATCTGTTTTCTCTCTCTTTCATTAGGAGATTGCCAGAGGTGTCGCGAAGCAAAAGAGCTGCTTTATAATAATGAGACTAGAAAATCGCCACTTTATCTTTTCTGTGGCCAAATCCAGCCATTCAGTCATCTCTCTTTCTGTCCCGGCCGCCACTCCACAAGGTGGCTCTGTTTAAAATAGCATCCATAGGTCTTCAGAAGAAGCTTTTTCTTTTTAATCCAATATGACAGACATCAAAGGCGGTAATAGAGAGCGATATAGCGCTTGAAAGCCATGCTGCCAGATGGTCTCCTTTCAAATGGTCTCCACGGTGGCTGATTTCCAAGTTAATTTGCTCCCTAACCTTTAAGAATAATTTTGTTTTAAGGTCTGTCTTCGAATGCTTTGTTGTTTGTTCTTCTCTTTTATGTCCAAGTCGGCTATTTTCTGCCATTGGCGTTTGAACCTGCTGTTAGCTTCGTTAAAAAAACCCTCTTTGGATCCATTTAAATGTTATTGCAGGATAAAGGCTCACAGAGATGCTGCCCAAAGCCTTTCACCACTGTGTGACATTTTAAACCAAGCCGAAAACCCTCAGGTCTTCATGGAACATTTTACCAACTCTCTTTGAACTCCGAATATTAATGCTCTTCATTTTATTCAGTATGGAAGTATATAATGCCATTCCAACCACCTGTACATGTTCTTCCCAGAGAAACAGAGTGATGTTGTTTTCAGCTTAAAGAGATAGTTTAATGGAAATGCTGTCAAAAAAATAATTTTTGAACTCAACCTTGACTAAAACTAAATAAATAAATTAATTAATTAATTAAAATTGAAATAAATTAATATATAAATAAATAAAATCAATTAAAACTGGAAATAAAGTTCAGCCAAATTTTTTATTTTTATTAAATGTTATTTATTTATTTTTATTTCATAATAAAGAATGCATCTTGAGCACCAAATCAGCTTATTAGAATGATTTCTGAAGGATCATGTGACACTGAAGACTGGAGTAATGATGCTGAAAATTCAGCTTGGATCACATGAATAAATTATATATTAAAATAGAAAGCAGTTATTGTAAAATGTTAAAATATTTCACAATATTGCTACATATTTCTGTATTTTTGGTCAAAAAAAATAAAAAATGCATCCTTGGTAAGCATAAGAGACTTCTTTCAAAAGCATTCACTCATTGTACTGCATAAAAATTCTTTAAACATTTCGACTTTTGTGTTATACAGTAAGAGCATACAGGTCTGGAATGACATGAAGGTAAAAAAAATCTGTCACTGAACTTTGCCTTCAATGTCCTTTATAGCATATGTCTTCTAACTTGGTCACCTAGAATTTAGTGTACATAAAAGCAGCAATAATGGAAGGACGCTCTCTCTCTCTCTCGCTCTCTTTGTAAATGTCTGTGGGTGCGTGTGTATTTCTGGAGCTCATGATGGCCCAGGGCAGTATAGCTGATTGCCTGTTTTGTGGGAGAATGGGCTTTTATAAGCTGGAGGGTCTGCACTTACCTCTGATTACCACTAAGCCCTCGTATTCCCAAGAACTCGTAGATGAGGCACTCTAGTGAGTCAAGGTTAGTCTTGAGTCATATACAGTCGCCAGATCTCATCGTCATGTAGCAGAACCGTCCGACTGAGTCCATAAAGAGACTCTTGATTTATCACAAGGAGTGTGAATGTGTTACTTAAAGCCCTTTTACTTCTCCACTGTTGTTTTTCATGCTCAGGCTGACTTTGAGTTGTCTGCACGGATATCCAGAATTAAATCTGTCCGAATTGCAGTAATTCATGTTTTTGAAAATCAGCAGCTTGTACTGAAGAGTCCTACACTCGTGATTACTCATAATCATGCAATCTTGTGTTTCATTGTGATCATAAAGCCTAAAACTGGACTGAAAATGTCCCACACTTCACCTGTTTCACCTCTCCATGCCACTCTTCCTCTGTGGGATCCTGATCACGATATGTGTCCTCCTGTTTTTAGTAAGATTTGATATTTGTCTTTTTTTGATGCTTCAAATCTTATGCTGTAACTTTTCAAGGTGATCAGACTTCATTATGATTATGTGTGTTTTTAATTATGATTTTTTTTTTAAGTCTGTTTTTCTCACCAAGGCTGTATTTATTTGGTCAAAATTACAGTAAAATAGTAATATTGTAAAATATTGTTAAAATTTATTGTACAGTAACAATATTACTGTACTATATTTTTGATCAAATAAATGCAGCCTTGATGAGCATATGAGACTTCTTTTTAAAAACATTTGTTTTGCTTAAATTGTTACATTTTCATATTATAGCAGTGAATGTATATATATATATATTACATTTATATATTTTAGCTATAACTATATTGAAATATTTTATTATATACAATTATATTGATATTGATTTTGATATTGATACTGATATAGTACTGTATGTTGAAGCAGCAAGACATCCATTTATTTCACTTTGGGTGTAATGAAGAGGTTCATTGTTTGAATATTGGAGATGAACAACAAGAGATTATATCACTGATGAGTAGTTTTACCAGGTTTTGATTATTCTGTAAATATCATGTTTTCCCCACAGTTCGCTGTTCAGAGAAATCTCACATCTCATTGGACTGCCTCCATATTGTCAGCTCACGCAAGACAGACGATCTTGCCTGCGGGTACAAGATAAGAAGGCACCAATTAACTGGAAGCTTATTGGTGATAAAACGGAGCCCTTCTGCAGTATGCTTCATGTAGAAAATGATGTCTGTTTCTCTCCTTCTGAGACCATTTGGAATTAGCGGAAAGAATTGAACAGCCTTAGATTAATTTCATTAGCTGTGTGCTTCTGTGATAGAATAATAGGGTGCCAGAAGGAGAAGGACTTCTGCGTTTCAAAGGTCAAAATATTGGAGCGCATGGATGATTAAAGTGGCCGCATGAAATCTGGAAAATACTCTATTGCAAACTAGTTTCTTGTTCTTCTTGAAATTGGACGGCTATTTCACATAAATATCTTGTAGGCTTGTGTCCATACACCAGTTTTATCATTAATACAGATGTCCACATAATAGCATTTCATGTTTTGTTCGCATTTAAATGTAAAAATTCTCTGGAGCTGCAAAACAACAACAAAATGAAAATTGTAGACACTTGCCATCTTTGCTAGTGGGCTTCCCTGAAGCTATTTACATTTATCCAAAGCAGAACTAAATGTGTGCATGGTAGGCATTTCTAGACCTTATATTTTCTTAAGTGCAAACAACAAATATATAATGCCCTATTTTGACATGGCAGTACCAGTATTTCTGTTGTTGAGATCACGGTAATGCAAGAACTTCTACAGTCCCTTCACTGGCCCTTTGCTGGTCTGTGGAAGGAACTTGTCAAAGCAGCATTGAAAAATCATAAGCAGGCCCTGCCTACAAGTGATGAAATCATGTACAAGCTGTTATAATGGCGTTAATTGTATGTAGGAGATTTAGTCTTCTCTTAAATATTATTTCTCTTTATTTCTTTTAAGATTTCTAGCATATAATAACACAAATGTCACAATGTGTCTTTATATCTCCCAGTGTGGCTTCATATCTCATAATGTGGCATCATATCTCACAGTGGGACTTTATATCTCAAAGTGTGGCTTAATATCTCATAATGTCACTTACTATTTCCCAGTGGGACTATATGTCATAATATGGCTTTTTATCTCACGATGTGACTATATCTCACTATTTAAATGTATACATCACAATTTAAATTTATATCTCACAGTGTGGCATAATATCTCATAATGTGACTATATCTCACAGTGTGGCTTAAAATCTTAAAATATGACTTCATATCTCATAATGTGACTATATCTCACAGTGTGGCCTACTATCTCATTATGTGGCTTTAAATCTCACCGTTTGAATTTCTGTCTCATAATGAGGCTTAATATCTCATAATGTGACTTTATATCTCACAGTGTGACAATATGATTATTTATTTTTATTTTTACTTAATCTTAACATTTAACCTTAAGGTTATCTCACATAGGCCTGTCTTGTTTCCTGTCCTCTGTGCATGTGGATCAATGCTGCCGTTGTTTCAGACGGTTGTAATTCCAGGGTAAATTGCTGTGGTCCTCCTTTGTATGACATTAAAAGTCTGTGTAAGCAAACATTATATTTGCCACTTTGAAATGGCTTCTATGTGGACTAAAACCTCTCTTGGCAAATTTAACCATAATATAATTGGCTCATAACGCCGTGAGGGGGTGTCCCTTACACCACTGGGTGAGGAAAGAGCACTCAACATCCTGTAGCGAACATTGCGCTTGTGATTGCCTGTTAATATCTCTTAGTGTGTTAGGGCATAAATTTGTCTCATGTTTCACCTGACACAAACACATAAACTCAAGAATCATATTGTTTCTCCCACTGGTCAAGTTCTTTTTTCAGTGCTGTTGAGTGTTGCCAAGTCAATTTAAATTACACATACCCTACTGTTCTTTTAATGTCAGAGTTTTCACACTTTCTCATATTTTCTTTTCTTTGTTCAAGTAGCATGAGTCATATATCCACGCTGCAGTCAGGATAACACCCCCTCCATAGAAATCCAGCGATGTTTAAACCGACACATCTGACACTCTTGAATTGTTGCAGCTCCTGCATTATTATACTCTAGATTAAGAATAAATTGTAGCACAATAGTCATACTGACTGAAAAATGTCATCCTGACTATCATAATTATTCCAGTGCTAATCACCGTATTCTCATATGCTCTTTCTGTCTATTTTTCCTCTTTGTCTAGGTAAGTATGCCATGCGAGACCTGGTGCACCGGCTCCCAGGTGGGAGCAATGCTAGCGGAAGCAGCGGTGGTACGGCAAACAGCACAGCGGGTAAAACCATGTGCGATGACACCGTTACGGCTATATGCTGCGCCCTACACGAGGTCATCACCAAGAACATGGAGAACGCCAAGGCCTTACGAGACACCGGTGGCATTGAGAAGCTCATCGGTATTGCTAGGAGTAAAGGAGATAAGTAAGTTGTCTTTTCTTTTTTCTTTTTTTTTTTTATAATAGGCTTTCATCTTATCACTAACCACTAAAATGGCCTGAAGTGTGCGCTAACCACTAGGCCATGGCTTTGTTTTTGCTTGTGTTTTCATGGACCCTGAGAGCTGGCCAGTTATTTTGTTCACCAGAAACTGTGCATTGCTCTTGGAGACATTTTATTTTTCAGCTACGCAGTTCTACTTTTGTGCAGTGCACCTTTTCAATGAGATAAACATTATGAGTCAGACCTCAATAAGCATTTCATGAACTTCAAGGCTTCCACATTGTCTACAGATGTTCAGCTAAATCATATATACATCAGCAATGCACCTGACACAAGTCGCTTATTCAGTGCTTGCTGAACTGTAATGAAGAAAAGCAAACATGGAGGTAGAACACATTCACTTTTGCCATAATAGACAAAAAGAGCTGATGTTTGTATTGCTGCATCCTTGAGAATAAAGCTAAATGTCACAAGAGGCTGTATGTAACAAAGATTTTAACACAGTTAAGGGGTGTTGTCTGCCATTACAATACAGGGGGGAAAAACTCCCTTAACTTTGGTAAAAACCACTGTGTAACAGCCTTGACACTGGTTTATTGGTTTTGTGAATCACCAGAAGATATACAGAGTGGTCCTGATGAGATTGCAAACTGCTGTAATTTAAACCTGAAAGTGAACCGTTTTGTTTTGTTTTGTTTTGTTTTGTTTTGTTTTGTTTTGTTTTGTTTTGTTTTGTTTTGTTTTGTTTTGTTTTGTTTTGTTTTGTTTTGTTTTGTTTTGTTTTGTTTTGTTTTGTTTTGTTTTGTTTTGTTTTGTTTTGTTTTGTTTTGTTTTGTTTTGTTTTGTTTTGTTTTGTTTTGTTTTGTTTGCATAGAGTTACTGGAAACCACAACAAATTCCCTGGGTTTGTGTACATTTGCCAAATAAAGTTCATTTCTCATTCTGAAATAAAAATCTATATTTTTTTAATTTTATTTTGTTGTTTGATAAGGAGGATTATAGTATAATTAAAAATGTATTTAAAATGTACTGCTATTTTATATATATTTTTTATTTTCTTGTTTATTTATTATATTTTTATTGTGCCCCCTATTTATAGATTTGGTGTATTAATATAGATGTATTCAGTTGCAATACATGGCATGTTATTACACGCAACAGGTGTTTCAAATGTGCTTCATCCAATCATATTTTATAATAATCATTTATTGATCAAGCCTTTCTATATGCTGCTTGCTTTAGTCTCTTAGAAACAGCAAGTGTAGGCAGCCTGACAGTGAGTACGTTTACATGGACCACAATAATCCGATTTTAATACGATTAACACAATACCATGATTAAGAATCTACCATGTAAACAGAGATTTTTTATTACCTTAATCCGGCTAAAGTCATATTTGAAGTAAACAGAAATCGAAATTAAGACATGTGGAGTATTCCTATTTTAGTCGCATTACTGAAACCGCCATCGTCTGTATGCACGTACAAATAATTAACTGCACTTGAAGCTTTCATAAAATTACAAATGAAACACCCAAAACTGTACATGGCATCATCACGAAGACGAACTATATGTTTATATGTGAAATTCCGGAGGGGACGTTGGAGGGCGTCACGTGGGGACGTAATGACGTGTGCCATTAATCGAACTATGTACTATAACATGTAAAACGGGAACATGAAAGGAATATTCTAAAAGCAACTCATGTAAACATCATAATCATAATATTGGCTTATTTAGAATAAGGTAAATAATTAGATTACTGATGTCCATGTAAACGTAGTCAGTGAGTGATGACACTGTCAAAGACATTAGTCCGACCCTTATCAAACTGACACTTTATGCGACTGCTTTATATCCGCATCAGATATTCATACACTGTGCCCGCCCCGTTCGAGCCAATATGGC